TTGGTTATAATATATTTCTTATTTTAACTTCGAATTGTTACTATCAACTGAACTTACATAACTATGTGTTAAGAAAGTACAAAAAGTTATATGCAGTTAGGATTTGTATATTCATATATTCTCGTACTCTGTTTTTTTTTCAATCAAACTTCGCAAACTTAAGATAGGTTTACACACTTTGTAATATAGAGAAATAATATTTTTATCCCTCACACATTGTAACATACTGTTTTTGGAACTGAATTACGTTAATATAGGTCATATCTTGTGATATAGGATTGATGAAAGCCAGATGTTGCTATTCTATTTGTAAAAAGTATACACATAAGAAGATTATTTGTTCTCCAAAAATAATTTCAATAATTATGGCATATTGGTCTTTGATCTTGATCTTTCAATTTTTTTTTTTAATAAGGTTTGAAAGCCCCATTCGAATTCACGTTCGGATTATATATTTCTAAGTTATATGTCGTCCATTGACATGTCATTGTTCCAATTTGTAACTATCATTAATATACTGATCACTTTATATGTGTGTTTTTATCTCGATGGTTTAACATGTTCAAAACTATAGAAAAATAGAAATAGTGTGTTCTTCACATAAACATAAACAAACCATTGAATTTAGATATATACACGTGTACACTGTTATTTCCTCTAACATATCAGCCACCACGCCATCAAAATTTTCTAACAGGAACCAGAGAAATTGTAACTCATGTCTATCAACTGTTTGTGAACAAATCTTTTTTCGTGTCACAGCCCTATCCCAAATTTTCCTATTGAAAACCTAACTTCAGTTGTAAGGTTAATGGGTTAGTTATGACATAAGAAATAAATGTTATTGGATTTCATTGTTGAAAGAGTAAAGCCCATAAACCCAAATTAAGTCAACCTATTATTTTAAGAGAAGTCCAAGCCTTTTTGTTTTGTTGGTGAAAGAAAAGAAGAAAACGGCAAGAGAAAGAGAGAGAAACAGAGAGATCGTGAGTGGAGAAGAAGGAGAAGAGGAGAAGAAAGATAGGGAGATCTCGTGAGATCAAAGAGAGAACGTGAGGAAAGTGTTGTCGAGATGACGAAAGGAGACGAGAGGTGGAGGTGAGCTCCGGCTGTGATGGTGGCAACTTGATCCAGGAAGGAGCAGATCAGATCGGTGGGAACGGAACCACCGGTGA